GAAAATCATTGGGCATTTCTCAGCATCTGAGAAACCCTGCCTGGGGCAATAACTTTGACTCTCTATGAAAGGAAGTGTGGGGTGTGGAGGATGATCTGTGAGTACTCAGAGGGGTTTGGAAAGGTAGAAACAAAATACTTCTGTGCTGAGCATGTTTTTGTGTTTAGCTCTATACTAGGGTCTTCACATTCTCCATTTCATCATGTAGAATTGCATGGAATGAGCTGACAGCAAGAAGTCCTGGGGGAGATGGTCTGAGCTGTCATCAGAAGGGAAACTGCAGCATGTGGGGCTTAAAAACAGTTTATGATGGGATTTAGGATAAGGAGAGAGGGAAATTTATTCTGCACAAATACTTGTGTCATCCTCGTTTGTGTAGTCTTTGTGACTTTTTGTCTGGTTTCATCTGGTTGGCAGATCAACGCAAATACCTTTTAGCCTCAAGGAAAACACATAGAAGGCACGTAGGAATCGTGGCTACGTGATAAACACGACAAGCCAAGCCTCAGAGGGTTTCAGGTGTGTGAGCTTCTGCATTTGCGAGTGCTGCGTGCGTGCGTGCGCACGCGCACTAGTGCTGAACGTAACTACCAGTTTAAATCGGGGTTTTCAGCTGGGAAGATTTCACATGCTTCTTTGGTGTGGCCCAAGTGAATATATATTTAGAAATGAAAAGTAGAGCATGTTCCAAAAGTTCTTTTCTTGTGCCATCAGGGATAGGAGGACTTTTATTTATAGTAATTTCAGTTCCCCAAATACCTTTTGCAGTAGTATTAATGGGGCAAACAAAAAAAATTAAGCAATAGGTGATTAGACCATGTGTTATTTTACAGAGAACCATATTCCTCTTGCCTTTGAAAATATAAGCCTTCTTTTTTTAACTGTGATTAGAACTAATTCTTTTCTAAGATTTACTTATGGTGCTTAGGCAGCAAGAATTTGGGCAGTGCAATTGACCTTGTCTCTTGGCCTTGATGATTAAAAAAGAAAATACATAGGAATCAAATCCTTTGAGCTTGTTAATATTTATTATAATGTAAACATACATGGAATAGAAATACATATGAATGGAATATACATGGAATGGAAGCATATAGCAATAACTAGAAAAATGATTACTATTTTTTTTTTTTTTTTT